TGCTTATCCATAAAAATTTGCTAAACATCTTTTACTGTTACACTTTGTCTAAAGAAATTTAATTTCAAAAACACATCTCTAGGCCTTGCGTTATTTCAAAGCCTGCATCTTGTGTTTTTAAACTCAAACACGCATTCTGTGTGAATGGAAACACCTTTTGCAATTATTTAATTTTTTGTTAAAAAAAGTGTGTGTGTATATACAGGTACATCTCAATAAATTAGAACGTCGTGGAAAAGTTAATTTATTTCAGTAATTCAACTCAAATTGTGAAACTCGTGTATTAAATAAATTCAATGCACACAGACTGAAGTAGTTTAAGTCTTTGGTTCTTTTAACTGTGATGATTTTGGCTCACATTTAACAAAAACCCACCAATTCACTATCTCAACAAATTAGAATACTTCATAAGACCAATAAAAAAACATTTTAATGAATTGTTGGCCCTCTGGAAAGTATGCTAATTTACTGTACATGTACTCAATACTTGGTAGGGGCTCCTTTTGCTTTAATTACTGCTGAACAAAACTGAGAGACCATTTTGAAGGCTCAGGAAACCTTTGCAGCTGTTTTGATTTGATTAGTTGATTGGCATGTCACCATATTCTAATTTGTTGAGATGAATTGGTGGGTTTTTGTTAAATGTGAGCCAAAATCATCACAATTAAAAGAACCAAAGACTTAAACTACTTCAGTCTGTGTGGATTGAATTTATTTAATACACGGGTTTCACAATTTGAGTTGAATTACTGAAATAAATGAACTTTTCCACGACATTCTAATTTATTGAGATGCACCTGTATATACACACACCCCATTCTCCAGTGCTTTGCTTGCCCTCGACATCTTTCTGGGTTATCTAAAATGACGGATGGAGATTGATAAATGGTATATGTTTGCACTCAGGTTAACTTAATTAGTTTCTCAGGACTATCTTCTGTGTAGTCTGTTACACCCGGAGCTCTTCACAGACAAGCAGATAGATTGGTGAGCCGGCAGGCTTCGATTCTCCAGCCACAGCGGTAGCTTAATATCATAAAAGCTTGCTCCTTTCAAGAGAGTGTGTAAGAATCTGAACGGAAGCTTTTGTTAAATGGTTGGAGTTTGCTCTGAAGCGTTAAAGGATAACAAGTCCTTGCTTGGTCATTAAAGCGGTCTCTGCAGAGAGAAATGTGTGCTACAGGAAGTGGGCGAACTGCAAACACATTTGAGGTGATTATAGTGTGTGTGCGCCTCAAGGGAGTGCTGGATTACACAATACCCGAGCCCAGAGCCCATCGCAGCGGTGGCAGAGCTGCCTACCATAGGGCAGCTGGATTATGGAGGTCGCCCCTGTTTTTCAGCAGGATTACTGCCTGAAATTCACCGCTAACATACTTTTCCGGATTATATAACATCGACACAAGGTATATAACATTGACACAGTTGTAATTGCATCATAAATGTGGTTGTTATCGTAGGCGGTCCTCCCTGTACCTGCTTTAGGTTTCCCCAAAACCACAACAAAAATGTGATAGTGAAAATCTGTTGAAGAGGGAAATTTCCAGAGGAATTGTACAGTGCCCCTAAGGGGACATGGTAATAAAAAAAAAACTAATATAAAGGTCAAAAGTATAAAATTCTGGTCTGGGTGCAGTTCTATGGTGGCCCATAAAGGGACATGATGAACAAAAAAAAAGGGAGGACAAATAAAAAATTTATGTTTTTGCATTCTCTTGCAAAAGTATTTTTCACTCTGTCATTGTTAGTTTCCTTTTATTTTATTTATTGCATTTTTTTTCTTTTTTTTTTGTTGTTAAATCTGGTTTCAGGTTATTTAGTTTATATTTTATAATATACCATGTATCAAGATTGATTTGTTGCTTTATTAATTTTAATTATTCATGAAAATATATTTGTTTAATTTAGTTTTTTCCCCAGTTACACTGGTTTATTTCAGTAAACGAAAATGTTTTCATTACAGCAAAGGTTTACTAAAGTTCAGTTCCATTACTGTTCACAATGCGTTTGTCATGCTCAATAATAACTAAACATAACCATATTTAGCATATTTTAGCTAAAATGGGACTGACAATATATTCTGCTGAATTGTGAAGTTAGCCTATGACTTTCTTTTACTCTGTATTATTTCTTTGTAGATCTGATCCTTTTATCTTCCCGTCCTTGTGTGAATCTCTTGTATTTGCTGGAAACCATGTGATTGTGTGTTTCCGAGAAGCATGTGTCGGCCTTGGTCTCAACAAATGCGATTGTCCACTTGATTGCCAAGAGTTCATTAGAGTCTAGAGGACTTTTTCGGCTATTAACAGAGGCTTTTTTCAATCATTTGCCACGGTTATGTTCCTGAGTTTGCTAAATCTGTTACGAGTGGCTCTTCAACGTCAACATAATTGCTTCAAATCTTCACAGTCCAGCAACAAGAGGGCATGCAGACACTTTAGCATGGATGGTAATACATAGAGCCACATTAGCAGCGGCTGCTCATTACTGAGTTTATCACTTATGAGTTTTACACTTGTGTATGAGGCTGTGTTGGAGAGTGACTTAAAATGACCACAGATACCTTATAACGCATTAAGAAGTTTGTTTCAATGCTTCATTTAATTGATTCACCATTTTAACAAAAATAAAAAAAAATAATGAAAAATATATACACTACTGTTCACAACATTGGTAGTCTCTTCTGCTGCAGAAACTAGAAAATAGTTACAAGCAATAGGACAAAAAAAACTACAGTAGAACAAATAAGAAATGCTACATGCATTATATAAAGTCATCAAATGTATAAAAACACTACATATTCTTCTCTGTGTAAATTAAATATATATTTGTTCTTATTAAAGTTACAGAAGGTATTTAGTCAAGAGCAGTGAGAGATTTTATCTCTTTTGTTGTTTTATTAACATGACTGATAGACAGCAGGAATATTAGACTGCTGTCACTTTAAGAACTGCCCGGATCCAATATGCTGTTACACGTTTTCTTTCTCAGCTATTTGCTTTCGTTTAAAGGGATAGTTCAGCCAAAAATGATGTAGAATGCTGCTGACGTAGAATTCGCATGCGCTGCGCCTTGTTTACGAGCAGAGGAATGCACATGCATACGTCGTGGTGCTCTTGTGAATGGTGGCAGATGCTGACACGAAAAGGAAGAATTGTTGAATAAAGTTGTTATTTTAGTTTTCTTTGCACACAAAAATAATTCTCATAGCTTCATAAAATTACTGTTGAACCACTGATGTCACATGGACTATTTTAACAATGTCCTTACTACGTTTCTGGGCCTGGGAACATTTCAGTTGCATTGCTGTCCATGCAGGGTCAGAAAGCTCTCGGATTTCATCAAATATATCATAATTTGTGTTCCGAAGATTAACGAAGGTGTTTTGAATTGACTTAAAACCAGCCTAATTAAACAAGGTTTCTCTAAGACATTTGGTTGACTAGTCGATTATGAAAGGAAGTAGTTTTTTACATCCTTATGATGAGGTTGCACACTTCCTTTTGTATGAGTTTAGTTGATGTGTGGTAACGCTGAGAACCCCTGACAGAGCTGGGGCAAAGTGTTACGCTGGCATGAAGCTCACCTTGCTTTACCAAAAACACCCTACCGAAGGCCTGTCAGATTGATGTTCAGAGGCGTTAAAAAGATTTTTCTATTTCTCCCTCATTCTTCCCCTTATAAGCTACAGTTATATGATTTACTTTGACGCGAGCTAAAGCCTCTCTAAATGTCATGTGTTGATTTTATGGCGATAAGCGATGGCCAAAGACAACCCCGCGTGTTGCTGTACTGTTAAATGATCTATGTAGCAGGTTGCTCTTGCTAAATCTGTCATTTATTGCTCTCTACAGTATTCAACGCATTTTTGCACCCTTGCTGCTGGTAGAGAGGCAGCCCAATAGTCCCGGATAATTTATCAGGCTCAAAGAATTAAGTAAGCTACTTGGCGGCAATGAATTGTTCTGTTACTCTTCACGCCGTCCACTCCTATTATCTTCCTGCTTTGCCTATTCTTGGCCCTCTACTTTATGCCGATTTTGAGTTTGCAGTTGTCCTCTATTGCTGTAAAGCGCGAGTGGATATCCAGTGTGTAGGCTGGTGACTTGCTGGCAGAGATGAGCGTTTCATCACATGCTAATTGAGCAATAGATGCCGACGATAAGTGCCTGCATACGGCTGCGTCTGCTACATTCACCTGTCTCCTCCAGAGGCTGGTCTCTCGCGCTTCTACACCAGAACAGATTCACTGTTGGAGTGGGCCTTTATTTTTCCTTCATTGCCCTTATTTTCCTCCATTAACCATGTATGTGTGCTTGTAGTAGTGTTGGTTCTGACCTGACAATAAAAATTGTATAAGAAGGTTTAGTAACCTGTTACTTTTTTATTTATCATTTTATTTTATTAATATTGTTCTGTGCCACATCAAAGTCACACTTTATTTATCACTGTTAATTAGTGCATGTCTTGTTTTCTTGTCTGTGAGCAATAATGATCAACTTGAAAGTGTTACATTGTGTCCTGTGATTGTGATCATGTGTAAATATATTCATGCCACCCCAGTGCTGCTTTAAAAAGTGTGTGGTGGTGTCATGCATGGAAGAGAAGTCTGTTAATAACATGTTTGTCCTGTATACTATATGCATTGTGATGCACAGAATTAATAACAATTAATAAAATAATCTAATTTTATTTTATTTATTTTTATTTAATTTTATCCGTAATCATTTTGTGCTGAAATGTAAGCTGTAATCAAACCAAATCAAACATTTTATTTATTTACTAAAGTAATGTATTTATTTTGGTAAAAACATTGTTTTCTCAATTCAATGAAAACAGTTTAAAAACACAAATTGTTTGTGATATATTTGGATGTTGGTTTGCAATGCTTCTGTTAATCGGCCAATGCTGGTATTCTGAAAATGGGTGGATGTTGGCCAGTATTTTAGTCTGGGTGTATAAGATGCTCAATCACCTTGTCTTATGTGTGTGTTTTTCAGTGCGGGACCCAAGGGTGACAACATTTACGAGTGGAGATCCACCATCCTGGGCCCTCCAGGTTCAGTCTATGAGGGAGGCGTGTTCTTTCTGGATATCACCTTCTCTTCCGATTACCCCTTCAAGCCACCAAAGGTACAGTGTGGAAAATCATCTTCCATTTTTATTCACTATTTTTGAGGTATTAAAACAGGGGATGCTTAATCCTGCTTCAAGTGATCATGCATTGCTGACTTACAACTCTAATCAAAGTCTTGAAAATTACAGGCAAGTGTACCAGGATGGAACTAAACTCAGGCTGTGTTTGAAAACCTAGCGAGCAGTCATGCTGTCTACTGCTCATATAGGCTGCTGCCTTCTGAGGGAGAATCCTGACTGAAATAGCACTTTATAAGTGAACGATACATGAAATGCTTACGAATGCCTTAGAACTTGGTCAGAAGCAGGTGTCTTAGAAGGCAGCATCATCATGCTTTTAGAAGCTGCATAAGCAGCTCATTATGTTTCACAACAGGGTTTCAATCTAAATGCAAAATGCATTGGAATGTATTTGGAAGCATTTCAGACTGAATACATCAAAGCTGTTCTTGAATGTGGGGCAGAACTTAAAACAGCTGTATCAGCTATTTGATGCTGTTCTTGAGAATAGAAGATCATGAATCAAAGTCCCATGACATTTCTAAGCCATATGAAAGTAAATGATCATTTAAGCATTGTATAATCTGAAAGTTGTTGTAAAGTGGTACCTCATGTACTATACAAGAAACATCTCATGAATGCACTGGGACACATCCTCAGTGATGTACCCTGGGGTCATTGGGTGTTTCGGGTCTCGCAACATCATACACCCTCGCCCAGGCGACCCAGCCGGGGTTGATCAAGCCCCGACTTGAGTCCCAGTAGCAGCCCACAGATCAGCCCTCTTAAACCAAAGCCACCTTGTGGCCTTCTCTGCAGCTTCGCTCGCGGCTTGAATGGCCCTCTTCTTGGCCACCCCTGTAATGCCCAAACGACTGAGGACTTTGCAAAGTGAACGTCCTGCAAAGCCTCTACAGCCGACTTCTATAGGCTCATAGAAGGTTCTCCAGCCTCTCTCCCTGCACTAGAAGAGAAGTCTGTTAATAACATGTTTGTCCTGTATACTATATGCATTGTGATGCACAGAATTAATAACAATTAATAAAATAATCTAATTTTATTTTATTTATTTTTATTTAATTTTATCCGTAATCATTTTGTGCTGAAATGTAAGCTGTAATCAAACCAAATCAAACATTTTATTTATTTACTAAAGTAATGTATTTATTTTGGTAAAAACATTGTTTTCTCAATTCAATGAAAACAGTTTAAAAACACAAATTGTTTGTGATATATTTGGATGTTGGTTTGCAATGCTTCTGTTAATCGGCCAATGCTGGTATTCTGAAAATGGGCGGATGTTGGCCAGTATTTTAGTCTGGGTGTATAAGATGCTCAATCACCTTGTCTTATGTGTGTGTTTTTCAGTGCGGGACCCAAGGGTGACAACATTTACGAGTGGAGATCCACCATCCTGGGCCCTCCAGGTTCAGTCTATGAGGGAGGCGTGTTCTTTCTGGATATCACCTTCTCTTCCGATTACCCCTTCAAGCCACCAAAGGTACAGTGTGGAAAATCATCTTCCATTTTTATTCACTATTTTTGAGGTATTAAAACAGGGGATGCTTAATCCTGCTTCAAGTGATCATGCATTGCTGACTTACAACTCTAATCAAAGTCTTGAAAATTACAGGCAAGTGTACCAGGATGGAACTAAACTCAGGCTGTGTTTGAAAACCTAGCGAGCAGTCATGCTGTCTACTGCTCATATAGGCTGCTGCCTTCTGAGGGAGAATCCTGACTGAAATAGCACTTTATAAGTGAACGATACATGAAATGCTTACGAATGCCTTAGAACTTGGTCAGAAGCAGGTGTCTTAGAAGGCAGCATCATCATGCTTTTAGAAGCTGCATAAGCAGCTCATTATGTTTCACAACAGGGTTTCAATCTAAATGCAAAATGCATTGGAATGTATTTGGAAGCATTTCAGACTGAATACATCAAAGCTGTTCTTGAATGTGGGGCAGAACTTAAAACAGCTGTATCAGCTATTTGATGCTGTTCTTGAGAATAGAAGATCATGAATCAAAGTCCCATGACATTTCTAAGCCATATGAAAGTAAATGATCATTTAAGCATTGTATAATCTGAAAGTTGTTGTAAAGTGGTACCTCATGTACTATACAAGAAACATCTCATGAATGCACTGGGACACATCCTCAGTGATGTACCCTGGGGTCATTGGGTGTTTCGGGTCTCGCAACATCATACACCCTCGCCCAGGCGACCCAGCCGGGGTTGATCAAGCCCCGACTTGAGTCCCAGTAGCAGCCCACAGATCAGCCCTCTTAAACCAAAGCCACCTTGTGGCCTTCTCTGCAGCTTCGCTCGCGGCTTGAATGGCCCTCTTCTTGGCCACCCCTGTAATGCCCAAACGACTGAGGACTTTGCAAAGTGAACGTCCTGCAAAGCCTCTACAGCCGACTTCTATAGGCTCATAGAAGGTTCTCCAGCCTCTCTCCCTGCACTAAATTAAATGTGAAATTTTAAAGTAGAAAGACTGAAATAGTATTTTAATGTAATACATACTTCATTAATCAACATAAAAAAGTGACTTTTTTTTACAGTACAAGCTGATGTGTGTTATAAAAAGCAGAATTAAAAATAAGATTATAATAAATGTTTATGAGACAATATACATAGTAGTACAATAAATCACACATACAGTGTGTTTAAAAGTCCTTATTTTTAAAATGTAATTTTATTCAGGAAATAAAATTGTAGGATTTATAAATGTAAAATAAAAAATGTTATGATGTAAAATATTTAAGATTCTGCACTATTTCTAGGTCACTAATCTTACTAGTCTTTTATACGGATGGTAAGATGTTCTTGCTTCAATTAAAGTTCAAGGCGGAGAACAAATGTTTCAATTCAGCTTTTCACTGGAATTATTGCTGCTTATGTTATTTGTAATGGAAAAAGCTATTAAGCTGTTATAGTAAAATACACAATAGAAGCATTTTCACAAGTAGACTCTTGAACGCATCTGTGGATGTGTAGTTTGCTATTATTAGTCTATAGAGCAGTGGCCTTTAATTAAGATGTATTAGCTCTACCAAGGACACTCTGTAACAGATCATTCAGAACAGGTATTGACCTCTGTTAAAATGTCTCAAGGATAATGTGAAGCTGAACGATTATGTTTTTCTAATTTGTGTGCTGGATGGCTGAACGTACTCCTTCCGAGCACTGGCTATTTCCAGTGTAAAGCAATTAGCAAGATGCCGACAGGCAGCGATGTGGTTTAGGGAAGCTGGTTTACTATACAGCTCCAGCTATAAAGGTGAAAGAGTCAACCACGGCATTTCGGATTAATTAGTATCCGAATCTCCTTCCTCAGCATGTTTGGGAATTTGCCCCACTCTTAGTGGCTCTCCACCTCAGTCTGATCCTCATTTCGACCGTCAGTGGCATCTATAAACAACAAGTTTATATAAAGCTCATGGGCTGGAGGGGGCTCTTTGTTCAGATCAAGCCACTGCAAAGCTCTAATCCACTAATTATAAACAGGATTCATCCTCTGCGGTGGATGCCGGGCAGAGCCGGCGATCCGCACCCCCTCATTCTTTTGTCTCCAGATGAAATGCAAGGCAACTTGGGGGCCGATCTCGCCTACATTTGTTTGGGTTGGTGCTCTGTGAAGTCATTGCCCTCTCTCGCTCACTAAGTGGTGAGGCTTGGTTTGTGGTCTGCTAATCTGTGCTTTTGTGAATGAGTATGTCTGTGTTTGGGAGCAGGGCAGAAAAGAGAGAGACAGGCATTTCATCCTAAAAGTCTATCTAGAAATAAGAGTATCGATTAACTCGAGCTGTAAAAGGCTCTAATGCATTGGTTTGTTGACAGAGCAGTTTGGTTGGGTCATTATGTGCCTTTAAAAAGAGCTATTTCTCTTTTATTTTGTCTTTCTTTCTTTCTTTCTTTCTTTCTTTCTTTCTTTCTTTCTTTCTTTCTTTCTTTCTTTCTTTCTGTCTGTCTGTCTGTCTGTCTGTCTGTCTGTCTGTCTGTCTGTCTGTCTGTCTGTCTGTCTGTCTGTTTAGAAACTCTACCTACCTGGCTGTCTACTGCCTACAGAGATACCTTTGTTGCTAAGTTAATGATGCCATTCCCTAATAAAAGGATGATAATTGAATAAAGATCTGATTATGGTTTTGATTAACATTCAAATGGGTTCAACTATCAACAAGTTCATTTGCAGTCATTTATCTCTGAAATTAGGGAGCGTTTACTGTACATGACACGGTTTTGGCCATACACGACAGCTGTGTTTTGGGGTTTTTGAAAACTTAAAGGGGTGGTTGACTGTTTTTTTTCTAGGCTTGATTGTGTTTATGGGGTGCAGCCTAACATGTGTTAATGCTTCGTTTAAAAAAAACTAAACGCATTATTTTTCACATAATTTACCTTTATTCTACACCGCTCTGTCCCTTCTCCCATAAACGTGCTGATCATTTCCTGCTTTTATGAAGCCCCTCCCTCAGAAATGTTGTGATTGGCTAAACCGCCTCTAGTGCGCGTCTGAACGTCACGCCCCTCAGTTCAGCGGCATGTGCTCTGGCTGTATTGTAAACAATGGCGTCGTCTATGTTGCTTATCAGTTTGAGCCCGATTGAGACGCAGAGGATGTTATTGAAGAGGATTGCGCAGAACCTGTGCAAGCACGGCTCTTAATGGTATGTTTTTTGATTGTTGTTGTCTCATACTTTTAGATACGCTGTTATTTGTAAATGCTGCTGCTTCTGTTAGCTTTTAATATATGGTTTTATTTAAAGCTGATTAAAGGTTTAATACAGTACGGCAACCGCATGCGCGTCCATGTATAATGCTTCTCATAGCTATGTGAAAATAAGTGTATAAATGGAACAGTTCATTGTTGGAGCTGAGCTGAATGAGAGAGAGAGATGCAGAGCAGGGGGATGCGAGGAACAGTATTGAGAACCGCTGCTTTTTGAACATTGATTTTGAAACCTGTGAATCCATTCGAATCGTTAGACGACAGAATCACGATTCATATACTGTATGAGTAGATTTTTACATGCACCCCTAGTTTTCTCTTCCTCTTCTCTAAAGCAGCGCAGCATGGCCTCGCCCCCTTATGAAGCCCCTCCCTCAGAAATGTTGTGATTGGCTAAACCGCCTCTAGTGCGCGTCTGAACGTCACGCCCCTCAGTTCAGCGGCATGTGCTCTGGCTGTATTGTAAACAATGGCGTCGTCTATGTTGCTTATCAGTTTGAGCCCGATTGAGACGCAGAGGATGTTATTGAAGAGGATTGCGCAGAACCTGTGCAAGCACGGCTCTTAATGGTATGTTTTTTGATTGTTGTTGTCTCATACTTTTAGATACGCTGTTATTTGTAAATGCTGCTGCTTCTGTTAGCTTTTAATATATGGTTTTATTTAAAGCTGATTAAAGGTTTAATACAGTACGGCAACCGCATGCGCGTCCATGTATAATGCTTCTCATAGCTATGTGAAAATAAGTGTATAAATGGAACAGTTCATTGTTGGAGCTGAGCTGAATGAGAGAGAGAGATGCAGAGCAGGGGGATGCGAGGAACAGTATTGAGAACCGCTGCTTTTTGAACATTGATTTTGAAACCTGTGAATCCATTCGAATCGTTAGACGACAGAATCACGATTCATATACTGTATGAGTAGATTTTTACATGCACCCCTAGTTTTCTCTTCCTCTTCTCTAAAGCAGCGCAGCATGGCCTCGCCCCCTTTGTTGCATGTTCCCGGGGGTGGGGTTTGTCTGGGTTTGTGATGTCACAATTCCCGGGAAGAAACTTGTTGTAGTCCCTACGAGCCGTTTTTGTAGGCATTAAACTGCCAGAATTTTAAAAGATATCGCCGTTTGCATTTAACTTTCAGCGCCGCAACTTTGCAGATGTTGTTTATGCTCAAACAGCAACATTACACACTAACTAATGTCAAAAAAGTGAAATCGCAAGCAACCACCCCTTTAAAAAAAAAACGTTTTCAAAGTGCAAGTTTTTGAAAACGATACCGTTATAGTCTCTGTGTAAACTACAAAAACACGAATTTGTTAAAACGGTGAAGTCATGCTCATGCATATTACGTGTTTCTTTTAGAAAGTGGCATCGCCAACTACTGGCCTGGCATGCATAATACAACGTTTTTGTCATTTTTGCATATCCATGTGAACGGGGATCATTTTGGCAATGTCGTTGTCTGTATACAAATCTTTAAAAAAATGTAAAGGAAAAAGCATTTCCATATATATATTTTTTTTATAGTTTTAAATATTTTTTATTTATTAAAATATATTTATATTAATATTTAATACATTTTTAATGCTTATTAAGTGTACGTCTGTGTTGCATTAAATATACAACACATTTTATGTTAAACATGATACATTTAAATTAATATTAAATATAATTATTTTATAATTAATATTATATTTGTAATTTCTTGGAAAAGTCCAAAATTCTGGGCAAAGTATAACATTTTAACCGCCTTAAAACGTGAAACTTGAAACTTAAGACTCACCCAAAAATACACAGCACACAATTTTGGGTAAAGTAGGAACATTTCTCAATATTTATGTTTACATTCTACATTTCTCTCAACTTGCTCTCTTCTTGGATTAATAATTCTGTGTAAATGTGGCTCAGGAATGCTTGACAAAGGCATGGCCAAAACAGTAAATATTATATTTTATAGTGTGTGGGAGCTATGGTAGTGTTTGAGATTTTTTTTATTACCCGTTTATGATGTTAGTTTAGGATAAAAAAATATCCTTTCAGTATTTTTATTTTCAGATGTGCAATGTATTTCTATTTACATTTGACTAAAAAAGGCATCTGAAAGAACAGCTTCCCAACTTTAGGAACAGTCTTTGCATTGCTAGTGTCATTATGATGCCTTAAAATGCTGTGTAGGCAGCTCACTAGGTTTTTCTCTCACTTCTCTCCATAGGGGCATGTGTCATGAACTCTCTCTTGTTTTGTTTCACAGTGTTGGCCGTGTCATGCTGGCTGTGTTTTTGAACTCCAAGACCACCGTGTCCATACAATACCCACATTGTGCCAGGCAGGCAGGGTTATTTTGGTCACTCTGTTTATGCTGCATTATGTGACGGACGTCTTAGTAGCTGCTGCAGGGTACAGAGTGAGACGCAGTCAACAAACAAGAAGCGCTCTTTATGTGCTAAGGGAGCAGACTAATGCATGACCCTTATCTGGCAGATTCGGCCCTCCCACAATACTGCAGTCAGCGGTGTCCCGCCGGTCCTGTAAGCTGGGGCCATAAGTCGTCAATACTCTAGATAAGGGCTACTGACACAGTTGGGAAGCTGGGTCAGGTTAAGCTTGCTTGGCTTTCTCTTCTCACCGGATCGATAGCTTTCAGGATTCAGCCCTGGTTTCTGAGAGAGCCGTTAATGAGAGTGAGCCAGCTCTCAAAAGCCCTGTCTATAATAAAAGCCCTGTTATAACACATCCAGAGTATTAAAGCGTGGTTCTGGACTGGTAAGCTAACATCATCCCTTTTTAGATAGACTTGTTTTGTGATGGTTTTGGTTTCCTCCTCCTGTGCAGGTCACGTTCCGTACGAGGATCTATCACTGCAACATCAACAGTCAGGGTGTGATCTGCCTGGACATCCTGAAGGATAACTGGAGCCCAGCTCTGACCATCTCGAAGGTCCTGCTTTCCATCTGTTCTCTGCT